AAATAATTGGAATTTAATTTTTTTTTTTTTTTTTTTTTTTTTTTTTTTTTTTTTTTTTTTTTTTTTTTTCATATTTTTTTGCTTTGTTTTTTTTTTTTTTTTTTTTTTTTTTTTTTTTTTTTTTTTCGCATGAATATTGGCATTTAAATATTGCTGATAAAAAAGTATTCATGAGATATTTAGTATTTGGCAAATGTTTGTGGAAATCTATTAAATTTTTACAATCTTATGTGTTCATTATTTTCAAAAAATGAAAGGTACGGTTGTCATAGGTACTGATGTGTTAGTATGTAATTTTTTAAACAAAACTTGTAAAATTTTACTCCTCATAAACTAAATTAAACATAATCATGAGTTATTCACCCCTAGGCTGTTGCTGACATCTGTTTTTACAAAATGCTCAAAATAATATAAATTTAATTTGGCTGACAAAAAGAACTTATATATCAGTTTGTAAGTGGTTTGTGAAGTATCACATCACTAAAATATATGACTTAGGTCGCATTCAGATGATCCAAGGAGTAAATATGGCCGACCCCACTTAAAAGCAAGCCACCTAATCCACTGTTGGGCTATCCACCTCCACATGCGCCATTAAACCAATTAAATCTCAGCCCCGAGTTTCAATTGCTGGGCCCCTGCAGCAACAGCATGTGTGGGGGCGGGGACACCATTAGGAGATGAGTCTGCATTGCTTATAAATGGGTCGACCATATTTGATCTCCAGATCTGTTAGTCCATGGATGAACTTGCTCTGGATGCTCTCTTGGTTGTGTACTGTGTGTTAAGTGTATTGTCTCCCCCATTCAGAGGGTCCCAAATCTACCCCTGCCCCCAAGGCCAGACAGCCAGAGGAACCGGCCAAACTGGAGCACCATGATAATGCTCCTAAGAAAGGTAGTATCCTATGTTAATGATATATGATATAATACTCACCATGGTTTTATACTTTGACTGCATGATGGTATCTTTGCTGGAGGTGCTTCTGTGAAAATACAAATATTTCCTTTTAGAGTATAATATATTTTAGCCTGGTGCCAAATTGTAACCCTTCAGAATTATTTATTTTCAATTACAAATTTTGAAATAGAAAATCGGAGACGTGTTTGTCTGCCGTTAAGTAACAGCCGAAGAATTCTTCATCATCATCCTCACCTTCTAACCCCTCACTGCATGTACAAACACACGCATGCACACACGCACGCACATGTTTTATGAAGGTCCAGAGATTGTTCTTGTTTATCTTGGACAATACATGGAAACATTTTAAATTTGGCATTGAAATGCATCTGTAGCTTACCAGTTACAAAGAAATCTTGTTAAAGTTGACATAATAAACTAATTAAAGGCAGTCATTGTTTTATCTGGTGCTCTAACAGTTTATAGCCTGAGTTCAATTTAGTGGTAGATGATAAGATGTCTAGAAATAGTTTGCTGTTGCTTGTTTAGTGATGAACTTTTTTCTGTAACTTTCTGTTTCAAGTTAATAGTACAGATGTTTCCTTGTCTGATTTTCTAAGATAATTCTTTGATGATAGTATTACCTCCCCCCCCCTCAAAAAAAAAAAAAAAAAAAAAGAATAAATAAATAAATAAAAGTACCCCAAGTTTAGACTGGCTAAAGTTCTGGGAGCTATCCAGTGGAGATATTGTGAAAGGGAGTATACACTGTGTAGTATAAAAATGAACTGATACAGATCATATAATATCATGGAATATGAAGAGTGCCTCTGATAAACAGGTAGATAGATTTTGTATAGTAAAGGACTTACATGTGTGCATATTGTTTAGGGGCATCCTTCTTTTCTCTGTGGCAAACTAAATTAATGTAAAACTATTTTTTTATATATAATAGTACCATTATGATGCTCTCACAGCCGAAGAATTCTTATTCCGTATGACTTCTAATGGAAGCCTTTAAATGTGATACAGTTCTGTTATATTATTATACAGGTGTTGGTGAGCAGCAGTGGTGTTTATTTGATTTAAGATGTTTTTATTGGCTGCCATATTGAATTTTGCCAATTGAATGTGTTTCTAAGGATTTCAACTTGGCATCAAGCTGTTATATTGTCAGTGATTTAATTTCTAAGAAACTATCTTCAGTATCTGTATTTTCACAAAGCAATTGAGCAATTTTCACCAAACTTTTAAACCTTATTTAACATTTCTGCTTAGCATTTTGTACTGTCATCTGCTTTGTGATACTAACATGTGTGTCTTCTTGCACTTAGCCCTGCTGTTTGTGCAGAAATTTATATCACCTATCCTTTCCCATCATCACATAAAATCAGACATCCAATATTTTTAATTGTCAGTTTGATAACTATATTCCATATTTTTCATATATAGACATATTGTTTTACAGCTGGCGTTTTAAAATACTTCTAGAATTGGCTGGCAGTGCAATGACATTGTTTTCATTATATTTGTTTAACCTTAATTGTTTAATGTCCTTAAATATCATTTAATAAACAATGTTTGTTTTTGACTTTCTTCATTTATTATAAATTGTAATACTAAATAGATGCACTTTACACTCCATGTCTCCCAAGAGCTAACAACACTCTTGTATTCCATGTCTAACACCAGTTCTGTACTAAAGCTTTAACAATAGATGCACTTATCCCACAGCAGGCTCTTTCAACAGTAGGATAACAGCCCTTATATTTTGATTGCAAGGTGTACGTATGTCTGTATATCAATATTCTTCAGTCAGTTACAAGTGAAATAGAAGTAGAGTTATCCTACATTGTTCAAAAGACCAGCAGTGGGATAAGTCAGTATAGTTACAAGCACCCATCACCATCTTTATGCAATAAACAAGAGGGTAATAGTCAAGATGTCAGCACAAATTGCATAAAATGGACGAATTGTGCTGTAACTAGTACTAACTATTACATATAGAAATGCTAATTCTTTAATATTCCTCTTTTGTGTCCTGCATTTTCAACAGATTGAATTTGACAAAAGGAGGGAAGGGTACATTTGATTGAGATAAGAGAAATAAGTTCAAAAGTGGTACAGGGTTCCCAGAGTTTCAATGTTTGCTGGAAACTGACCTATGTTACCAGCGACCTCTGCCCTTTCCAGTAACCTGTACTCTCGCAAGCGACCTCTGCCCTTGCCAGTGACCCTTGTCCTTTCCAGTGACCTCTGCCCTTTCCAGTGACCTCTGAAACTCAGAGTTGTCAGGGAGTCCTTTTTATAAGTGGGAACTGTCTTTTCCTTTGGTTTTTAAGGAGAGAAAGCCCTTGCTTTGTCACTATATTATATTTTATTGTATCACCTAGCCTGTATGTGACCTTTGGCCTCTGCATGACCTTTGACATGACCTTTGACATGACCTGTGACATGGCATGTGCACAACCATCATATGATTTGACTTTATTTTACAAAATTCGTGCAGACTAAATATTGCATGCTTTATATTTCATTTGTTTACAACACGTTTTAATAATAGCAATGCATGTACCTCTATGCCATTTATATAGTTATATGCGATATATTTTTTATACTTGTAACATGCCACTTAATTTGATGTTAACTTCATTTTTTGATTAAACTGCGACACATGTAAAAAACTGTGAAGTTGTTTAGAATTGCTTAATAATTTATTGTGATTCCTTTTGTGAAAGAAAATTTTAATATATTTTTTCTGTGTATTGTTTATTACTTGATGTCATGTAAGAACCAGAGCATGTATCTTATGACGTAGAGTACAACAATTGCCAGAGGTGATGTAACTTTCTGAGTCCACCTATTGTTTTTCACATATTTTTAACTAATTGATGCCCTCATACATTCCAAATTTTGCATTAAAAACCATCTCACACTAGGCAGATATAAAATCAAGGCATGTGTGCTCTTGGTTCTAGAATTGAAGTTGGTCTCCAAGTGCCACTTGCGGACCCCCTGCGAGGCTGGAAAGTTCTCGTTTTACATCGGTTCAGGCCACGGGAAGGAAGACAGCGGGGAGCAGCCAGTGATCTGTATCGAGGATAATTTGTGAGTATTTTTTACCCCGTTTGATTCGAGTGAGCTTTGGTCATTATTATTTATTTATTTTTCATTAATATGGAGACTTGAGTTAAATAACCTTTTCTTGATGGATTGTTCACAATAGAATAATAATATTAATAATGAAATAGCAACTGAATAAATGAACTTGATGAAATAAGAATTTTTGAAAGATTATTTATATATGAATCATACTTATTATTAATAATTGTGTCAATATTCTACAAAGGTTGGCACACTGGAAAAACATTTTGTAAAAATTATTTTTCATAACCACTGTCAATATGTCCTCTTGACTTCAGTGTCATTAACAGAGAGAATAAGAAGGGCAAGCGTGGTTTGACAGTGGTGGTGGTGGACAGTAAGTAGGAGATATTAGGAGGCAGCGGTCTCCCTTTTACCCTCTTTCCACCCTTTAAATATAAAGAGTTAGATAAAATAACAAAGTGGTTATACATTCAGGAATTGCTTTGTTTTTCATCTTTCTGTCTTCTGTCTGTCCATCTTTGTACCTGTCGTGGTTTCGACATTTGGTTTTTGTAATCTGTTTCGTAACATCAGCTTTTTTTTTTTCAATTTCAAAATAGTGCTGCCAGGAGATACTTTGAACTGTTATATTGAACCAAGTAATGGCTTGTCCAGTTTTTCAAAAAAAAAATCATTTTTTATTTTTTTTTTTAGTTGATTAGTCTCTTACTGTCAAAGTAAGCATCTATGATTTTATTGTAAACTGACAATGTGTTTTCTCCATATTTTAGATAAGACAGGGAAAGTTCTGGAAGATAAGGTTTTTGACACTTACTCTGATGGTATGTATCCCAATTCTTAATATATCCCATTTCTTAATATTTAATATTTTATTTATTTATTTATTTAATTATTTATTTACTTATTTTAATACACTGTATATCAAATAACTGAACAGACTTTTTGCTTAAATATTGTTATTATTATTATTATTATTATTATTATTATTATTGTAAGTTTCAGACTGTGTTACTATTTATTTGTTTGTTTGATTATTTATTAATGATGCATAGAAGCATAGATTATACTATTCACCAAAATCTCAAAATGTAGCAGAACCATTTGTTATCCCAAAAATGAATCAGTTGTCTGATCAGAAGTGATTACCCATTCTCATTGGTTGTTTTTCCTCCAATCAGATGCCCCACTGGTTCGTTTCCTAAAGTACGATGTACCTGATGATGCTTTCATCCTGGTGGCAAGCTACGATGATGCCTCAACTAGGTGAGTTTTATGACCTAATTTTCAAATTTATGGACTTGATCTTGAACAATCGAAAAGGTTAGGGAAAAAGTGAAAGAAAGTAGCTATATGGTGAATAAAGGGATAGATAAATATTACTTATATGAGTCTGCACTTTTTTTTATAATTATAACTTAATATCTTTTTATCTTTTGGTGTATTCAGATGATATTTCAATTTTTTTTCAAACCTATAACTGAAATGAAAATAATGGGATTCCACTTGCAAATGGTGTGAAATTTTATCATAATGAAAATTATTTTCTTTCTTTTTAAAAGACTGAAAGATGAATCTCGGTTTCTGCTGAAGAAGTATGGCAGTCAGCACATAGACAAGTTGAGCTTCAGAGAGCCATGTTGGGCCAGAAGGGTCTGGAGACTGGAAAGGCTGTAGAGAAGGTTTGTAGAAATAATAATAATAATAATAATGATAATTATAAACTGCAAAAGCACTAAGAGAATGCAGGCCTATGTCAAGGCAACTAATTCCTATGGTTAATTTATTAAATAATGAATTACCACCAAAATTTAATCCATTCTAAGTTGATAGCTCAGTTTAAAACACTATTAATTCAGCTGTTCACTACATCTTCTGTTATAAGACTAAATCCTGAAAGATTTATGGATGAGATGAGTAGCTACATTTGTGTTTGTTGATGTTCTTCATATTATTATGTATAGTTCATGTAGATTATGTAGATTATGTATTAATACATCTCAGGTGGTGAACAGAGGAGGTGGAGAGGATTTTGCCAAGGTGGCAGAAGTCGGAGGATGTTTCACTTCACCAAGTAAGTCATTTGGACCGAGATCTCTCTGGCTTATGTGTTTATTGGGAAGTAATTAGAATAATGCATTTTTACCATTATGGTGAACATGGACAATTGCTGCAGTTATTTTAAGTCACTAAAAATATAAGTTTTAAACAACTTCTTGTTGTGGCCTTTATAGCCTTATGAGTTTTTTTGTTTCAAAAAA